TGGATATCTTCCATACTTTCTGGTGCTTTAGTTCTTTCTGCTACCCTTTCATTGCTATTTGCCTCTTCTTGGTGTAGAGTGATCTGTCTAATATTTTCGTGTGATTCTCCTCCTTTATCTCTTTCTGCTTCTGTAATTAGTGCCTCTTCAGTTCTCATTTCTATTTCTTGTATTGTTTCACTCGATTTTCCTAATTGCGTGGTTGCTGGTTCTTGCTCTCTTCTTAAAACTTCTTTAATTTTGTCTATTTCTTCTGTGAAAGCAGCTCTTTCTAGTACAACACGCCATTGCCTTGCTAGAGTAATGATGCTCTTATTGACATTCATTGCATTTGCAACCATTTCATCTAGGTGGTCTGCTAGACCTAACACCGAAACGCTACCTTTCTGAATAATTTCTCTACCATACTCTTTGGTTATTTTCTTAATGAAATACTTAGAACTTTCTGTATTCCACATCTTATTCTTTGAATTGTTTTGTAAGTTAGATTTCTTCTATTTTTGATCTGTTTTCTTGAAGTGACTTTGTCTTTTTGACCAAATTCCTTAGGTTTTTTCCTGTTTACCTATGTTTTTTCTAGTTTCTGATGTGTATACTTTCTTTCTATTGGTTAATACGTGACATGTCTTTTTAGTTATCAAATCACGTTTGTTTGTTTATACCGTTTTCCACATGTTTGTGTTACAATAACTGATCTACGATTCAGGGTAATTCCAAATCCCTCAAAAATAATGAGAAAAAAAGTTTTTCCGTCGAAGTTTTCTGTTTCTAGTTATAAGGTGGTCTATCTGGTTGTTTCTTGCTTTTATTCTTCTAATGTAATATGTGTACTTTTCAGTTCTCTTTCTTTTTGTTTAACGCTCTAAGTACTGTTTCTTAGTAGAGTTTTTGAGATAACTTAGTTTTTCTCTTATCTCCGAATTTGGTCAAAATAATCTACGTGTAAAATTTTAGTTATTTATATACATATATTTTATTTATATAGATAAAAAAAGATTATATAAAATAGCTTTTTAAGTTAGATAATATAAATCTATTATATAAAAATAATATAAAATATAAAATAGTTGAATAAGGAACTAAAAAAAAACTTAGCTACTAAGAAAAAAAACAATTCAACTATTAAAAAATTAAAAAATAAATGAATAATACTAAGCTAAAACTAGTAAATTTATACTTTTTCATAGATGCATTAATAACTTCTTCAATATTATAATCCAATTCATCTTCTTCTGATTCTACATTACTATTCGTTGTTTTATATGTTTTTTCTTCTAAAAAAATATTGAAATTAAACATTTCTTCAATTTCTAAATCTCTATCATTATATTGCAAAAGATTATTCAAATTCTCAGTATTAGATATATAATCGGTATCAGCTTCTTCACTTTCTTCTCTATCATAAATAAATATATCATCATCAAACTTAACCATATTTGCATAATTTTCTATAACATTCTCAAAATCAGATTCAGAAATAGCATGATTAATATAATTAAGTTCATTTTGGGCATTGGCTATATAATAGGTATGCATTTTTGCTATATTTGATACCTTTTCAATAGTAATTCTATTATAAAAAGTATAAATTAAGTAATTAATAATAATAATTAGGTTAATTACTTTGCATATTACAGTAATTAGATTGGTTTATTGCAGTTTATAAAATTATATGAAATTAGTAAAAAAAGATATCAAAAATTTCTAATTTCTAATTTCTAATATTTTTTTTAAACTTTTAGATAAGACTTTAATATTACATATGTTATCAGAAGTATAATTGTATAATATTAAGAAAATCAGAAATCAGAAATTATTAATTTCTTTTTTTTGATCTGCAAATTTCATATAATTTTGTAAGCTGCAAAAAATAACTCAAAACTAATTTAATTATTATTATAGTAAATTACAATAACTAAATTAGTTTTAAATTATTTAGACTAATCTAATTAGAGTATAATTAAATAATAAATATTAAACTGAGTTTTAGTATAATTATGTATCAAATTAATATTTGTATCAGATTAAAATAGTTATGTACTAGTCTGGTGATCTTAGTGTAGTAGTTAGATTGCCAGACTGCCATGCAAGAGGTCTGAAGTTCAAATCCCACTGTTGACAAATTTGAATAATTACTCAGACCTTTGTACTCAACTTATGGTAAACTCTGT